GCCCGGCCCTGGGCCACTGGCTTCCCACTAGCATTCCCACTGGCGCGTTTTGGAGGCCTCTGAGCAATGCAAAGGACTAGGCCCCATTTGGGTAGGAAGGTGAGAAATGCAAGGCCGCATGTGCAGGGATGGACACAAAGCCATGCACAAAGGAGTGCAAAGCCCAGGGAGGCAACCAGCCCGGCCCTGCGCTCTGCTCCCTGCCGCCCTCTGCTCCCAGCCTTGGGTTGGACTTGGACTGAAGGCTGCGTGAGACAAGCTGGGGTGCAGGCTCTTCCGCCTGGAGAAGCCGTATCATCACACTTTCAGAGGAGAGCAAGATCTGGGCGGGAAAAAAAAAAAAAGTCACAAAGAAATTCGTTTGCCACCATGCAAAATGGCGGCACTTAAACATCTTGGGGACGGTGGCCCTGGCCAGAGAACCTATAGATGCCCTGGGTCGGTGCAGTCCCCAGAGTTCGGGGGCTGGGGAGAAGCGAGACGAATGGGGGATCCTCGAGCCCCCCGGCCCTTGGGCTGGATCCTTCCCTGCCAGGCCTTCGCCAGCAGCCCCTGGCCACTGACCCCTGTTTACAAACACAGCCTGGGGGCGGGGTGGGGCGGTCGGGGCGCGGGCTGGCGGGGTGGGAGGAGGATCGTGAGCAGCCGAGGACGCCACCAGCCGAGAGGAGCGATGAGTTGGTGCTAGAGAGCCGGCCCTGCAGCTGGAAAGGACTGAACGCCTTGTTTTTGAAACTGTCAGTTCCCTCAACCCCTATTGTGAGGGCTTCATGCAAAACATCTCAGGCCTTTTAAAGTAGGAGCTTGTGAGGCCGCCACAGTTTGAAAAGGAGCGAGAGTAGTGGGGGCCTAGGGCATGAAAGACTGATAGCTGTCTCCCCCCCTTCTTTTCTTTTTTTTTTTTTTTTTAAAGCAAAAGAGGGCCTGCCAAACAGGTAAAATGCAGCCCTCCCCCACCTCCTAGATCAGTCCTAGGTCCCCAACCCCCAGGCTACTTTGCTGAATGCCCTTTGGCCTAGGGAGCAAACCAAAAACCAAAGCTCGAGCAAAAACTAGTTTTTCCTCCCAGGGAAGGGGAAAACTCCTAGGGATGGCTGGGGTGACTGGGAGGACTCGCCAAGGTGGATGCAAACAGGTAAAATGCAGCCCTCCCCCACCTCCTAGATCAGTCCTAGGTCCCCAACCCCCAGGCTACTTTGCTGAATGCCCTTTGGCCTAGGGAGCAAACCAAAAACCAAAGCTCGAGCAAAAACTAGTTTTTCCTCCCAGGGAAGGGGAAAACTCCTAGGGATGGCTGGGGTGACTGGGAGGACTCGCCAAGGTGGATGCCTGTTCCTCCTTGCCAATTTCCTGAGCTTAGCTGACACAGAGCCTTGAGCTTTTTTTCCCCCTTTCCTAGCTTGACCCTGGGAAATCCCTCCCTTCACATCCTTTTCTGCAGGAAGTTGTTTTCGAGGTTAGCACAACTCACCAGGTTTTCTTTCTTTTGTAGGTGCTAATACTTTATTTATTTATTTATTATTTTAATTTCACCCTGGAAAATTCTTGTTCTCTTTGAAAGAAAAAAAAAATGCTTTTGAGGAATTAGTTTCACCTGTATCTCTTCCTGCATGCAAACAAAACTAGCAGAAACTCCCAATCCAATTCTGGTTGGCTAGAACTTTGAGGAATTTCTAGACCATTGAAAGCCACCCAGACACAAATAAGACAGAAATCCATACACCAGCCTATCCAGTTTGTGTTACTGCTGTTTAGTGGTGGCTCCTTGTTGGTTTTCAAATAAACAACCATTATTGAGATTACTCCACTGTAATCAAGTAAGGCAACAGAAAGGAACACCCACTCTAAAAAGTAAATAGTTGAGAAAAAAGCTGCATTTTCTATAAAGGCAGATAACCTGACTGTGGAAGAGAGTACACACAGCTCTTTAAAAAATCATTAAATCGTCACTTCACAGTCTTATCAGGAAATTACTTTTATAGAAAACCAGAAATAAGTTTGCTTCACCAAAACGTCAGAGAAAGAAGCTTTTTCTACATTTTCCCATGTCTGTGAATGTCTGTTGAGCTAATTTGGATGCAGGAATCAGTGACCCTAGAGCTTTATAGCACTTTTGAAAAACATTCTAGTCCCTGAAAACATTTAAATGCAAAAATGGAACCTATCGATGGAGGTAACTTGTTTTTCTCTCAGTAAGGCTTAACTTTTGAACAAATGTGACATTTATAGCAGCTTAGAAAAATCTAGGTATCGTCATTAATCATAAAACAACCCAAATAAAATAAACTGTGCTGAGAATAATTCCCACAGCAGGATGGGGAACCAGCTAAGGGGCTACTAGGGATTGAAAGAATACCTTGTATTTGCATTCAGTTTGGTACTTTCCTGACAGAAGCCCCAACTCAGGTTCTGCTATGGTTGGATGGCCTACAGGAGGATTGGGAGCTAAAACTTGTGTTGACCATTTAATGTCTCTCCTTTTGATGGTATAACACTCTGGAATGCCTCAGCCCTCCACACTGTTCATTCTCCAGCTCCTATGAGCTGAAACTAGTGATTCTCTAAGGACTGGAGACCAAGTGTCAAAGTTGGAGGCTGATATTTTATGTCCAAAATTCCACAGGATGTATGTGTTTGAATTTGTGCTCATTCCATCTTACAGTCTTCCCACACTCAAGATCTGTAGACTTCAAATATATTCTCAGTTTATAATTTTGTAATAATCAGTCTATAGCCAAATGAAAGTACCAGACTAAACGTAGCAGTCACATCAGTTGAACTTTCTTGTCTTAGCACCAATTAAAGAGTAGAAATTACAGACTTCCCCTGTGTGTGTCACACTTTTTTACATTTTTTTTTTTTAGGACAACTCACTGTACCTAATTCTGTATTGCCCTCCACAGAGGAAAGAACTCAGACTAAGAAACCAGCTTTCTGAGGCTTTAAGGAAACATGGACTAGTCTTCAGAATTACATACAAATATGAATTCAAGGACAACATCCCACACTCTCGCCACAATCCCCCAATTTTTGCTTTGACCATATCTCTTATTCTAATAAAAAATTATTCAGTGAACCTCCATCTGGCAATATTCAAGAAGGAAAGGAAGGGAGGCAGTTCAAAGCATCTGCTTACTCCATCCAAATGTATTTGGATGCAGGTATCTCAGCCTCTGTCCTTTACAACAAGAGGAAAATCACAGAGCATACATAGCAATTAGGTCTGAGACCATCCAGAACTATCTGAAACACTTCTAGACAAAAGGAAAATTTCAAAGGGAGTAGGAATTAAAAGGTTAAGGAAAATAAATAGCTAAATTTCCATGAGAAATAGTGACTTAAATTCACACAGTAAACATTTCATTGGTGTTTTGTCTTCCTTTGTGATTTATGATCCATAGATGCAATTTCTTAAAGATAACAAGGATCTGAGATGTATAACTTGGTGAACCAAAAATTAATGGATTCAACATTCATTAAAATAACCACTGATCTCTACTTTCTTAAGTCTGAAACTTTTAGTACTTGGTCTATAATAAGTTTGCAAAGTTTGCTTGCTATTTGGGAAGAAATCTGACAGTGTTATGCACAGAACCTGCTTGGCCTCGTCACAAAGTATTACCACAAAACACTGCACCTAATAAATGCATTTCTTTCAGGCAAAAACATTACAAGTGAGAATGTCAACAAAACCATTCATTCCTGTTAACCATTCTTCAATCTGGAATAAGTAGAAATGTATGGAACCAGAATTTTTAAACAGTGTTTTTAATTGAAAATAAAGCTAAAGCATGCTTTTCAACAGTGCAAATTTCCATAATTTTGATTTACTGCTCTCATCATCACAACGCAGTACACCAGCATGGCCCTTACCAAGGGCTAGACCCTAGCCATTTGCATGTTGAACTACTTTGATTTAAGTGCAAATATAGATAGTCACCTCTGATTGTCACTTGCAGTAGAAACACTCCTGTTCTATACACAGGATGGCCTGAAAACAGAAGTTTAGAGAGAAGCAGGAAAAAAGCATAAGGTAATAAAATCCAAGTGCCTGAGTTCTGGTACCAGAAAGCCCTGAAATTACTGTTATTTTCTCACTTGGGGTGTTATGACTCTGACCCCTCTTTTTCTTGGTTGTATGAGGAGTTAGACCATTAAATATCCTGCTATTAGGAGAAATCTTTTCATTGTTTTGGAAGTTTGAAGAGTCATGTTCAGACCACAAGATAAGCAGGACAACAGCAGGAGTCATCATTGAAAACGGTTGGGTGAGAGCACAAAAAGGATTTTTCCCATTGCAAGGAGTGACTGCAAAAGTAAAAGCACATCCTTAATAGAAATACAATCTCATACTTCTTTTACTTATTACATACGAGGCAGCTTTTTATCAGCATCCAATCAGGACTCACACCCCAATCTTGCCATTAAAAAAAAAAAGTTAAGTGCAACTAACTACTCTTGGAGAAAGAATGTGTGCGTGTGTGTGTGTGTGTGTGTGTGTGTGTGTGTGAAAAGACACCCCACAAGGAAGAGCTCCAGAAAAAACATTCTGGGCTCACAGAAACTTCTTGCTACCTCACTGTATAACCAACCATATGACCTAACAAACTTTCACTGAATAACAGTTACACTTTCAGGTCTGAGATCTAGTGCATAAACTTAATGGCTCATTGTAATATTTATTATTCAACCTTTTGACATTTATTTGTAGCAGTTGAATTGAGGTACCGGTGCATTATTAGCATTGAAACAGTAAAGTGTTTCAGCTCTACCATAATAACTGAGTTTTACTTGAGTCTTTAGCCTGAAGTAGTCTGTGGTATGTAAACCAACCCTTCTCCCACCCCACCCCCACCCTACTTGAAAAAAAAAAAAACTCGCACTGGAAAAAAAAAAGTAATCCGATTTCTGTCTTCAAAATTCGATAAACCAGGACTCCAAAGGGGGTGTAACACCATTAATGGACTTGAACAAACCATCCTGTGCAGTTTACAACAAAAGGAAGGTAATATGGTTCAAGAAAATATCTTCCAAAACATTTTTTATGAATTAAATTTCCTGAATTTGTGACTAGGTGGAAGAGGTATCGCAGAACCGCCCAGCTGCCATTTCCATATAGGATGGGCCTTGTGAGGAGGTTGGAAATCCTTAGTGGTGTTTAAAGAATAGGCCGGCCACAAATCCCCATCCTTCCCAATAACGAGAGATGGTGGACAAGGAAAATTTGCCATGAAATTAAACGGCCTTTTCACTGCCGATGCTACATTGCTGGCTACCTTTTTGCGTCTGTTGAGAACTGTGAGGTCATCCAGTGTTCCATCCTGGGTTTCATTTTTACCTGTAGGACGAGGGCCTCTAGCTGATTTCAAATTTGGTTTGACTGGAGGTGTCTGAAGGACAGGTCGTTTTCCCAGCACTAGTGTCCGGTAATTTTTTCTCACCCTGGCACCAAATTTATATTCCCCATCCTCAGGTTTTGGAGAACCTAAAGTGCATGAAAGGCCCTGACTCTGAGCCAATGGATTTAAGGAAGGAGATTCTCTCTCAGGGCATGCAAAACCTTCCTTGGCTGTGGCTAACAAGGCGTCCTCCTCTTTACTTTCGGTCCCACTGTAAAACTCACCCTTTGTATCATTGCACTCGCACTTTAGCTTATCTGTGATAAGATCAGGTTCATATGCTTCACTAGCACTACTGTCTTCTACTTTGATTTTAATGTTGTGCAGAAATGGCCATGCCTTGTCGCCTGTGTCAGTGCAGAGAGGCTCCGCATCCACCTCAGGGTCAGTGTGAGAAGAGGGCAAATCTGTGGCAAATTCAGGGCAAGGAGGAATTTTGGAATCTTTTTCTGAATTTGCCGCTGTTCCAGAGGAATCGTGGTTTGAGAACCGAGCAGCTAACGTGCTGTGGTCTGCACAGTGTGCAGGATTTGCTGGTGGGCATTCCCTAGCCTCCCGGAGTATTCTTTGTTGTGGAAATACACTGTTTGTCTTTGGGCTAGGTGAAGAGGCCCCCTCCGCTAGGCAGTTAACTGTCAGGTCAGTTCTTCTTACAGTACTGGAAATTTCCGAGTGTGGGAATGTCATCTCAGAGACCCTAGCGTTCCTCATGTCGGGGAAACAAGTCCCCAGGCCAGCCGGGCAGTACAGCGGGGACGCCTTGGGGGCCCAGCTCTGCAGAGTCCACTCCTCCGGCGACTCGGCTTTGACTCCACTCTTGAGGTCGGGAAGTCTGCCTGCATCCTCGAAAGCAGCGGGTTTGGTTGCAGCTGCGGCGGAGGCCAGATGGTACAAGAAGTTGGCCTGCGCCTGCACGCTGGGAGGCTTGCAGAAGCTGGTGCGCCTAAAACGGATGCTCTGGACCGACACTTGGCTGGAGCCTGAGCTGGAGTCGGACTCGGTGGATGAGTCCTCCTCCTCCGAGCTCATCTCGCTGGAATCCGAGGCCCCGCTGCCCCCCTCCTCCTCTTCCTCTTCCTCCTCCTCCTCACCCTCCTCCTCCTCCTCCTCCGAGGACACAGAGTTGCTGGAGCTGGACACGCTGGAGCCGAAATCCGAGTCGTTGGCTGCATGGTCGGAGTAGGAGCTGGACTCGGAGTCGCTGCTGCAGCTCTCGGGAAAGCTGCCCGGCCGCGGCTGCGGCCGGGGGTGCTGTGGGGGGTGGGGACGCGGCGGCGGCGGGGCGCGGGA